TGCACCCTCCGTCCATCTCCACTGTCTGGCCTGGGTCTACCTACCGACTCCACCACTGCACCCTCCGTCCATCTCCACTGTCTGGCCTGGGTACACCTACCGACTCCACCACTGCACCCTCCGTCCATGTCCACTGTCTGGCCTGGGTCTACCTACCGACTCCACCATTGCACCCTCCGTCCATCTCCACTGTCTGGCCTGGGTAGACCTACCAACCCCACCACTGCACCCTCCGTCCATCTCCACTGTCTGGCCTGGGTACACCTACCGACCCCACCACTGCACCCTCTGAACGGCACACGTGGCTTCTTGAAAGTGGCATCATTCAGATATTAGGTGGCTTTCTGGATATGCATACCCTTGATGGCCTGGGCAGTTTCACGGGTGTCTTTAATGTGGACTCGAAGATTTGAACCCCTTGATTTGCATGGTTTTGTAGGATTTTCTGGTCCTCACGGGTCACCTCAGGCCACTTACAGGAAGAACACTGGTGTGTCTTGAAAACCTTATACACTACTGAAAAGAAGTTAAAAGGGCATACTAGAAATAGAAAACTGGTAAAATGGCTAGGTAAAAATGTAAATATATAGTTTTCTCTAGCAATAAACATCCAGAACAGTAGTGATAAAAAAAATTTGAACAAAATTATTAAGAAATGTACAGGCCCTGCAAAAAGATCACTGTAAGTTAGGGAGAAAAAGAACAGCATTCTTTATCATTTAAAATGTTGAAAGTCTCACGACAGCTTTGTACAGTCAGCTCATTAACTGTCCCCGGTTTCCAGATGGGAACAGAGCCATGAGCACTGGGGAAATCTGTCCCAGTTGCCCAGTAAGTGGCAATGAGCGCCATTACCTTTTTCTATCCTGCTTTCTCTAACCTAGCACACACCAGTTCTCCAAGGAAAACTCCAGATACCATAAACTGTCCATTCTTCCAACGTTAATTGCCAAATATAATGCTGAGTTATGAATGGAACTTAGAAGATTTAAAATTGAAAAAAGTTCACAAAAAGCAGAAATGTTTAATAAGCTATAAATGCACACAAAAATAAAAATCAGTAGAGGAGTTTTCCTTCACCAGACGTCAAAATAGACTAAAAATCCACTATCCTGAAGTAAATAGTTTAGCAGAAAAGTTAAGTCATTGTGACTTGGCAAAGGATGCAGAAGTAGATCCAATTCTCTATGAAGTTCTAAAGTTGCCACAATTATACATAGTTATGGGATATACTGTATATGGATATTTTGCCTGCATGTATGTATTTTGCTATGCACCATGTGTAGCATTTGCATATGACTACAAGCAACATCCTCTGAACTTTAAATCATGTACATCCTAATACAATGCAGGCGCTGTGTGAACCACCACACTATTTTGTTTATGATAAGGAAAATGTCTACGTGCACTCAGTACACGGGCTTTTGTTTTAAAATAATTGTGATAGGGTGCTTGGTTGAATGTGCAGATGTGGGCCCCACAGAAACAGAGAGCCCACAGTGACGTCCTATCTCTATTGGATTCAGAGGGGGAGAGCGCCAGGGCTCACACAGTGGGAGCATGAAATGAATGGCCATGGCCAGACAGGGACAGCCAAGGGCCAGTTGGCGTGCACTTGTGGGAGCAGGAAAGTCAAGACGCCAGAGAGAGAGAGAGGGAGTGGCCAGGAGAGCTGAGGACAGTGGAGGGCAGGAAGGAGGAGCCAGAGGGAAAGGGAAGAGGTGGGGAGCCATTGTATATGCAAGGATCATTTTTAGGACACTGAGAACCCGCTGTTTTAGGCCTTGGAGAAGGGGGAAGGAAGATGAGGGACGGAAGATGAAGAGAAGGCACTTCCCTTCCGCATCCTTCTGTGCCCTGGCATCCGGTGCCCTGCAGAGATCTGTGAAAGCAGCAACCATAATTACCAAGGCTATAGCTCCACTGCGGTGGACTCACTTGACTTTACCGCTCTCTGTTCCTGGCTGGTTGGCTGGTTTTCCAGTATTGGGGACCAAACCCTAGGGCCTTACGCATACAAGGCAAGTGCTCTACCACTAAGCTACATCCCCAGAACCTTTTTTATTGTCATCATTTTATGCATAGGGATGTGTTGCCTGTGTGTATGTCTGTGGCTCAGATCCCCTAGAACTGGAGTTACAGACAGTTGTGAGCCACCATGAGATGCTGGGAATGGAACCCAGGTCCTCTCAAAAGAGCAGCCAGTGCTCTTCATCACTGAGTCATCTCTTCAGCTCCCCCAGTTCTCTTCTATTGAGCCAGGGTCTTACTAAGTTGCCCAAGTTGGACTTGAATTATAATCCTCCTGCCTCAGCCTCCTAAGTAATTGAAACTAGAGGACTGTACTTCCTGGCCTGCTTCTGTGTTCCAGAGAGAAACTGGCCACTTGAGAGTTGTTGGCGTTGTGTGGAATGTCAGTTAAACTAAAAACTCATGCAGAAATAACAAGGTACAGTGGGCTTTTCACAGGTTTCCATAAAGATGCTGGGAAATATCCTCTCTGGCCGGTCAGAAATTCCATGGAAAGAGCTGAACTACTATGTTTCGGAAGTGACCTATGGTGGCCGAGTGACTGATGAATGGGACAAGCGATGCCTGAAGATTCTTTTCAACAAATTCTGCAGTCCTGACATTCTGAAGAGTAACTTCAGTTTCTCTAGTGATGAGGTAAGAAAAGAGTACATCTTCTTAATTATTTTTAAAAACTGGGTTTTGTTGCACCCTTTATGTCTTTAACTAAATTTTAATGATCACTCGAGTGGCTTTCATTGCCTTTCAGAACCAAACTAACTTCCCGTTGTTCTATTTTGTTTGTTTGCTTGCTTTTGGATTGGGGGATTTTGTTTGTTTGTTTTTTGAGACTGGGTTTCTCTGTGTGGCCCTGCTTGTCTGGGAACTCACTCTGTAGACCAGGTTGGCATGGAATTCAGAGATGTGCCTGCCTCTGCCTCGGAGTACTGAAATTTAAGGTGTGTGTCGCCACCACCCAACTTCCCATTGTTCTATTAAATGCCAGAATATATCAGGCAATCAATAAAAAGAATGGTAAAGAAATGGTGTGTGCCCTCTGAGACGCTGAGTATTATATACGAAGCACAAGGAAGCGGAAGCGAGCCGCACATACAGACCAGAGTCTAGCCAATGCACACGTGTTCCCCATGTTACCAGAGCTTCTGTTTGCCCAGCTTGCAGGCAGGGGAGCGGCTGGTGCCAGGGTGGAAAGCACACAGCACCAACATGTGGCCGAGCTGGCGTGCGGGAACTCTGTCTCTACCACAAGCATTCGAGGTAGAAAACCGTTCCCTTCCCGCAGGCCTTTGGCTTCTGTCCTCCACGTAGACCTCCACCTCGCAGGCAGAGCTCCAGGCTAGACACAGCAGTCATGCTTGTCCAATGTTTGCTGCAGAGGAAACAGCTCCGGAACCGCTGACCCGTATAGAGGGGGGCATGTGGAGAGGTTAAGTGGACAACAGGAGATAGGAAGGATGAGGCTCTGGGCCAGATGTGGGCTTGGTGTCATCAAGAGGGGTAGAGGTCAGACCCGGGTCATCTGCCCTAAGTCTTAAGAATACAGAGAGATGAACAAAGTGATATTTCAGAGAAACTCATTTGTAAGGCACCAAAAAAAAAGTGTATTAACAGCCTGTTGATGATGCAAAGCAACAAAAGCCAGCAGCATTCACAGACCACCTGGTGCATGCCAGCCAGCATGCAATTGTTTCTTATTGGGTCGCAAAGCCTCTGTTTGCTTTTAACTATTTAAAGGGACATTTAAATTAAGTTTAGATTCTTGTGGTAGTTTGAATGTAACTGGCCCCCATAAGCTCATAGGGAGAGGCACTATTGGGAGGTGTGGCCTTGTTGAAGGAAGTGTGTCACTGTGAGGGCGGGCTTTGCCCTGCTCCCCATCATGATGATAATGGACTGAACCCCTGAACTGTAAGCCAGCCACCCTAGTTGAATGTTGTCCTTTGTAAGAGTTGTTATGGTCATGGTGTCTCTTCTCAGCAATAGAGACCCTCACAAAGACAATTCTCAAGTCAGTCCTTAAGATAAAAATTACCCTTGAAAACCCTTTAAAAGTGCTCAGTAAGTATATTGTGTTTGGTTTCTGTGTGCAGACTGTCACACTGAATGTGTGTAAGTGAACAGGAGATAAAATAATATAGTTATATACATATAGCTTGTTTTTCATTGCAACATACCACATTAACAAAAATGTATGTTCTGAAATCTTACATTTCAATTGTTTTAAAACCCTGAAACTTTTATGACCATTCTGTCTTGCCAGTCCATCCTATGCACTGAAATAATCTTCATTTCCTTCCCTGATAATGTCTTTACCTTGTTCTCCAAAGTGTCCTGTGGCCCTCACCAGGTCTTCAATAAGAGCCACTACCGCCGGCCTCCTGACATATAAACAATGCATTTCTCTTCCTATTCACTGGTCATTCATTCTTAATATCTGTATTAGACAGATGTCTATAATTTGACAAATGCTGAAGACAAACAATTTTTAGGAGGAAATGTTTATTGTTGGCCCGTGTTTCCAGAGATTTCAGTCCATAGTTGACAGTTTGGACACAGGACTTCACAATGGGAGCCTGTGGCAGGGGAGGCTCCTCACTGATGGCACAGGAAACAAAGATGGGCAGGGTGGCATCCCAGCATCTCCTTCGGTGACACAGCACAGTGCTCGACTCTCCCACTTCTCAATAGTCTTACCCTCTCCCGGTAGTACCAGGCTGCTCACCACACTTCTAAGACACAAGGCCTGGGACTCCCTCACATCGCTTCAACAGGTTGTACTAGAGGCCCATGCTTCCATTACCTGTGGGAATATTTCCCCTAGCCTTTAAACACCCCCGCCTTCCCAACAAGAACGTTACATGTGAGTGTCATACGGTTTGCAATGGTGAGGTCCCAGGTGTTGCTTTTAATAGAATGTCTGTATTATAGAAATAAGAGTCATTTGCATAAAAGGTCATGGGAGGTACTACCTGGAGTAGATGTCTTACTCATGCAAAATTAACAAAGCCATTCAACTTTCAGATGTACCAGGTAGTGCCCATCTCGGCAAGCTTAAAGGACTGCATACACATTATCCAGTCCTTACCAGATGATGACTATCCCGAAATCTTAGGGATACACCCCGAGGCCACACAAACCTGCAACGAGACCAAGACTCAAAAGCTCATTGAAAATCTCATCAGCCTGCAACCAAAAGCTGCTCCGGTCAACCTCATGATCAAGTAAGAGGTCACTGGGAACGATCATTAGTTGGGAATTACCAGATATAATTTTGGTAGAAAAGTATAGCTTGCATGATAAACTAAATTCTCCATGTCACAGAGGCAAGTACATGATACGCATGCACACCCATACGTACACACACACACACACACACACACACACACACACACACACACACACACTTGCCAAGCATGTAGTAGTTAATAAGTATTTTTTGGATGAGTGACTGAATTGTACCTAGTGAGTTGTCTTCTAAGTGAATTTGGTTTTTATGTTTTGTTTTGGTTTTGGTTTTTCAAGACATGGTTTCTCTGTGTAACAGCCTGGCTGTCTTGGAATTCACTTTGTAGAGTCCTCGAACTCACAGAGATCCGCCTGCCTCTGCCTCCTGAGTGCTGGGATTAAAGGTGTGGTCAATAACACCTAGCTTTAAATGACTTTGTTTAAATGTGGGACATGCACATTTGCTTCTCAGGAGGGACAGACAGCTGTGGCAGTGATGGGAAGGGTTGTGAGCTCAAGAGAAATTGGCCTGTGCTCGGAGGCCCGTGTGAATCCCAGCTCTACAGGCTGCGTCAGTGTCCTTACCTGTAAGGGGGTAGAAAGACCTGCATGCCCTTTGAGGATACTGTGAGGTCTAAATGGTGTAATACATGTACACAAAATTCAAGCCTCCTCCCCAAAGACTGTAAAATGAAATCAACTATGTCTATGCCAGAGCTACATGTCTGGATCCCTCAATGTTTTCACTGGCTAAGGAAACTCCACTCTCCCTTTTTAGACATCCCCCAGTGCTGTCTCCCAGGGAGCTTAGGAACTAGATCATGGTGTGCTCACTTGCTCCTCCAACTTCCCCCCAGACCTGTGTTCAAATCCTAGCTCTGCTGTGTTATTTCATGAACATGAGGAAGCCATGCTCTGCCAAGGCCCCTCATTTGAGTCAAGACAGTGATCCTGGCTACGTCACAGGGACTCCCTGAGAGTCTGGGGATTTCCTTCCTCGTTTTCAGTTTTTTAATTTCTAGGTGTGGCATATCTTAACAACCACCATGTCAAAGCCTCTCAGTAATGTCCCGTTTGGGGCCTTGATCAAACATTTGCAAGTAGATTAAAATTTGTTACAGTTTGCATCCTTCTGTTGTCTGTCTGCCAGGCCTTCTCAAGTCTGTCAATCATTTTCATAAATCTAATAACCAGATATATATAGTGAATCTTAAATTCATTTGCTCTCTTATTTATATAAATTTAGCAGGATTTCAGTTTAAAGTGTTTTCTCAATTCTCTCTTTTTTTACATGGAGGCATAGGCTTCACCTCTCAAGTTTAAGAGGCCCCGTTCTCAGGACTATCAAAGTGTTCATGAGCTGGAGAGTTGACTCAGTTTACCAAAGTTTTCTGTGCAAACATGAGGGCCGGTGTTCAGATTCCCAGAACCCACAGAAAAGCCAGGCACACGTGTGTCACCAAGTGCTAGAAGGGGGAGACAGGTGGATCCTGGAGCGTGCTGGCCAGCTAGCTTGCCAAGATGGTGAGCTCCAAGTTCAGTGAGAGACCTTGTTTCAATGGATAAGTAAATAAATATGGCTGAGAGACAACTGAGACAAAAGCCATCCCAACATCAACCTTTCACCTCCACATATGCCTACACAGGCAAGTTCACCTGCGCACGCACGCGTGCACACACACACACACACACACACACACACACACACACACACGTGGTTGGACCTTTTCATCGGGACCACTGGCTTCCCAATAATGACACAGAGACTTATTATTGATTATAAAGGTTAGGCCGATAGCTTAGGCTTGTTACTAACTAGTTCTTACAACGTAAATTAACCCCTTTTTATCAATCTACTTTTTGTCTCATGGCTTTATTACATTTACTCTGTACTGTCCATGCTGCTTCCTCTCCCTCTGGCTGGTGACTCCCCACTTCTTCTTCCCAGCATCCTGTGTGCCTGAAAATCCTGCCTAGCTATTGCCCATTCAGCTTTTTGTTAAACCAATCAGAATGACACATCTTCACAGTGTACAAAAAGATTATTCCATAAACACACACACACACACCACACACACACACACACACACACACACACACACACACACACACACACACATATATGCAATATTCTAGATAATCACATTCCTTGGTACAAAAATATCTTTTCTATAATTTTTCCTTTGTTGGGATTACTTCTTGTTGGGAGCATGAGTAGGATACTCAGAACTCTGTAACTGTCAGGATAATTACTCCATAATTCTATGAGAGGTGGCCACATTACCCACATCCCTGGATGCCAACTACATATTCTCTAATACCTTTAGACAGAGTTTACATTCCTTTGGCTATTAAAATATATGTATTTTTCCCGTGTACCTCCAAACCAACTGGAATTCTTCTACATTCTATTATAGTCTTATCTCTTTGGATCATGACTCATTCAGATGACATTAGTATGCTCTCTGGCTTTGGCACATGCGTTTTACTATTTGATCCATCGTCCTGTATTGTTTACAAACAATAAATAGACATAGTTTCACTAGACCTGAGTATATACCATCTGCTTCATAGGGGGAAACTGCATATGGAGAAAGGCATATGCCCAAGAGAAAACATCCAGATGGTCCCAGAGCAGCAGGTAGAATGTTCTGTAGACTCCATACTTCTGATGATACCCTTCATACTATTATCTTTCCCCAACATACCAGTAAAAGATGGCATGGTTATAATGGAATTGTGTGGCTTTTCCTGGGGAGGTGTAAACAAATGTCTGTTCATCTCAGATAGGGCACTGACAGCACACCACAGAAACAATTCCTCCCAAATCTAGCTTAGAGAACCAGTGGGTTCACTGAAATTATTTTCAGGAGTATGGGTTACAGGCTACTTACAGGAACAGAGATGAGTCTAAGACATCTTTGTCACCACAAAGTCCACCCTAGTATAAGTGGCAACTCCTGAAATTTTACAAGCAGCTTGCCTCATCAGTGTCTCCCACTCAGCAACTGCTTATTCTGGTATAACTTTGCAGGGAGCCTTGCGAAAATTCTAAGTTTCAGGAACTTCCTGAGACTTGTGATTTACTTTACTCCCTGTATCTTCTAAGTTTAGTTTATTTCCTCAGTATGAAGGAATCTTTCTCTAGAAAAGAACATTCAATTTGAAAGAAATAACTATACAACAGAAATAGATTTAACAAGAATCTTAAACATATTTCACAGTGTCCCTTCACTTAGATGGAGAGGCCATAATTCCTCCAGTCATGTTGCTCAAACATGGAAACTCATTTGTTTATGAGATGCCATTGGGAGACCTGTCATATTCAAACCTTTTGACTTCTGAAATTACTTGAAGCTACCTTGGATGGCTACTAAGAAACCAAAGCAAAAGTCAAAAGCACAGCATAGAAAATGCATGTCCTTGGTGACTTGTAAGGTGCCCAGAAGCAGTGCTATTGAGCTAAAAGGCCATACTGGTGGTAACAGTTATCAGCTGCCTTGAAAGACAGCATTCATTTGGCTAAAATGAAACTTTGGTGTTAGGTGAAAAACTGGCCCATACTGGCAAGGAAAGGGAGCCCAAAGGAGTGTAGCGGTCCCTGCTCACCCGCTTTCTGTCCTGTGTGCCCTGTCCTCCTCGTTCATTTCTGACCCTGGCTTCTCATCTTTGGAAGGACTTCCAAGTATCCTTCCAGCCACATGCCACCACTGTCTCACCCAGCCATGTACATGCACTGGCCCCGTCACACCCAGAGTTCATGGTCAAGAAGCCCTTGGGTAAGCACCGAGGAATGTGACAAACTGACCCACTGAGAACCCATGAGCTACTGGGCCTGCCTCCTCATCCTCATCATCCAGCCTAGGCATGTGCCTGTCTGCAGATGGAGTCTAGTTTTAAAAAAAAAAAAAAAAAAAGTTGTTTTTGAAACAAGCCCTAAGGAGGCTTTTAAAAGACATTTCCTTATAAACATATAAGTGACCAGACAAGTTTTCTCTTCTGTAAAGTGAACTCCAGTGGCTCTGAGGTCTTCTGTATCACAGCTGTGGGTTCCATGGAGCTGCTCATGTTCTGTGGGGCCAAAGCAGAGGGTTCCCCCAGAGTGTGGGTCTGTGCCTCACTCTTCACCTGACTCCTTTGCAGTCCCGAGCAGAGCAATGACGACCTGGTGATGGAGATCCTAGCTGACATAATGGTTCAGCTGCCCCTGACAGTGGAGAAAGAGGAAGTTTCCGGGTCTGAGAGCCAATGCACATTCAAATTCATTTTATCAAGTTCAATGTGGGAGAGGCTTCAGAAAAATACTGAAGGTGAGTAGCAGCCCTGAGCTTCTCCCCAGACTGCAGCCTCATCAGGAAAGATTCTGACCCGGGAGGAAGGTACAGGAACCACAGCAGGGAAAGGTCGGGTGTCTCCCCGGATGGGAGATGGCAGTTGTTAGCCATGGCGTGGGTGCTGGAAATCAAGTTCAGGTCCTCTGCAAGAGCAAAGAGCAGCACATGCTCTTACCCACTGAGTCATCTCTCCAGCCCCATAGTCTAACTCTTTCCAAAAGTCATGTTGGAGCCAAATGCTGAGCAACAGTTTACCAAAAAGCACGGTGACTGTGCAGGCGGTGGCAACACGTGCCCCAGTGGTCTCATGAGGTGACGTTACTTAATGACTGTAATGGTTTGCATACGAGGGGAATGAATCTCTCAGTGCTAAAGCTAGTCTTCAGTTCTGCCTGCAAGACGCAGATATTAAAAAGAGGGTCTCACTAAGGGGCCCTGGCTGGCTCTGCTTCATTAGAGCTGGAATTAATGGCATGAGCTTTTATAAAGGCTGTTTTTATAGGATTCCAGTGGTTTACTATGTCAACGGTAGAACATCTACTTAAATACTGTATGAATTTCGGACTCAGGCTTTCTTTTGGCTTATTTGAGGCAGGGTCTCACAATGTTGCTCTGGCTGTCCTGGAACTCACTCTGTAGACCAGCCTGGCCTTGAACTCACATAGATCTGCCTCCTCTGCCTCCCAAGAACTAGGATTAAAGGCGTGTGCCACCATGACTGGCTAAAGCTTTCTTGAGACACACCTGGTGCTTACTGATTTGCATACTAGGTGTGGTGACACTCTTAGTATGAGTCATAACAGGCAGTATGGTTGATAAAAAAAAAAACTAAAATATTTGCTATCTACACTTTCTTAGAAAATGTCTACCAACCATGGTCAAAATACATGGACTTCCTCCAACTTGGAAGCTTGCATCCCTTCTTCCCCTATTAATATCACATTCCCCCCATTTTTTTTTAAATTCAGGCCATGATCCCCTTATCCACTGTGTCTTGATAACCTTTCTGAGCCAAGAAATAGAACGGTTCAATAAGTTATTATCTGTCATACATCAATCATTAAAGGACCTTCAACTTGCTATAAAGGGAGAGAGCATCCTCACTCAAGAGCTGGAAGAGACATACGACTCTTTCCTGAAAGCCAGAGTGCCCATGCTGTGGCAGGTAAGCAGCCACGCGTCTTGTTGGCCTCTAGCCTGAGAGGAATGTCCATGCTCCACAATGACCAAGCTCACTGCTCCACATGAAGAGATGATGTGTGGCCACTGTGCTGATCTGCTTTTGGTACAAATGTGATACAACCAATTAGAGGGCAGTGTGGCAGTTCTACCAAAAGTTATCTATCTTCGAGGTATTTACCATACAGCTGTAGCAACATAAATCTGAAAACAGCCTGGAGATCCATGGGGGGGGGGGAGGGCTGGTTATATGAAATAACGTCTGCACAAGATGAGGCATGTGTGCACATACCACAGAGATCTCCACAAAGGCTTGGTAAGGTTTTTAAAGTGTCAGAAGAATATGGGGGCATGTTTGCTTATAAAAAGTACACGTGTCTTAGTTTCAAGAAACACAGATGTTGTAGGAGGAAAAGCAGACCTCAGTAGTTACCTTAAGTGGCGTCATAATGGGCCATGTGTGGAGAAAGGCATTGGTTTTAATTTTACATTTTGTAGTATTTTGGTCTGCTGTTCTGTTTTATCTTATTCATATTTTTAGTTAGTACAAAACGTCACATGTTTACAAAGGCTGTAAGGTACATATCCTTAGGGAACAAGAAAGTATTACAGATGATTGCCACCAACATAACCAATGCTGACAGATGCTGCATGGGTGAACCCTGAAAAGTGAGGCTCTTCTACAGAGTGTAAGAAAGTAATCACAAAAGGCCACAGTGGATGACTCATGTAAATGAAACATCCATAACAGACAAACGCATACAAAGTGGCTGCCTCCAGCTGCAGGTAACAGAGAACTAAGCAGCACAAACAAAAAACAAAACAGAAAAACAGGGTTTTCGTTTGTTTGGTTTGGTTTTTACTTTAGTGCTGAAAATATGCTGAAGGGTGACTACGGTATTGGTCGTCCAACTCAGTAAATACATTTAACAACTGTTTACTGAATGTGTGCCTTAAATGAGTAACTGCATGTGAATTGCAGGTCAACACAGTACTTTTTTTAAAAAAAATAACCTGTATAGAAACCACGGAAACAGGTTAAAGGCATCCAACGACACCTAATTCGTTGAAAATTGAATAGGAACTAGTGAAACCTCGAAATGTAGCTTCTGTAGATTTCACACGTGTAGCATGGCAGGACTTCAGAGCTGACAGGGTTTCTGGGCTCCTGTGCTCAGTGGGCTGGAAGGGCCCAAGGGGCTCCCTGATGCCAGTGTCGGGGGCTGTGACACCACAGAAGGCTGAGTGGCGGCATGCTGACTGACTGACTGACAGACAGACAGACGTGAGCTCAGCTAACTGGGATGTCCAGCTAGCACAAGTGCTAAGATGGCTACGGCAAGTGTGTGGAGATTTGGGAGTTGAAAGCGAAGCTCCTGAGAACAGTTAGGTACGAGAACTCCAAGCAGGACTTGGGGTAGTCGGCCTGGATGAAACAATGGGACCCCCAGGGGTGAGGTGGAGAGAAGGAAGGACTGGAAGGACTCAGGCAACAGCCATCACAAAGACAGCCAGTGGATGGGACGGAAAGGCAGCAGGCAGAATTCAGGAGGAATCTGGGTGCCCTGGACTGGGGTGAGAAAACAGCTGTGACCACTGATCTCTAATGAGGACGGCAAAGGGGACAGGAGGCCATGATCTCCTCCACAAGACACCTACTGTCAGAAGATGGAGGCGGCTGAGGACGGCAAACCCCACTCCCTCCATCCTTGATGTCTGAGGGCTGGTTACGAACGGGATTGAGAATGGACGGCGGGGGCTGTGAGCAGAAGGAACGCTGAGGTCAAGACCAGGCCGGCTCTGCTGGGCTGGCAAGCACTGTCCAGTAGGTGAGGCTGGGAACTTGTACCAGGAAGCCTAGGGAGTTCGTGTGGCTAAAATCCAGGGTCCCCTGAAGACAACGTCCCCAGAAAGAAGAGGTGAGAGGTAAAGGTTGAAGAGTATTGAAAGCCTGTGGCCAGGACAGGCACTTCCAGTTAAGGTGATGTGATTCCCTTGGTACTAATTTTCAGACAACACTGTGTTTTCAGCTGGAAGATGGCGTATCTACTGCCAAGGTGTTCTCCCAGGCATAAAGGTGCCTAATGACCTCTAAACAAGATTTACAGAAACGATCCACTTCTCTTCTCTCTCAATCTGCAGAAGAATGCCTACAGGTCCTGCAAGCCCCTGAGCTTCTGGGTGAGCGACCTCATCCAGCGGGTGAACTTCTTCAACACCTGGGCCAAAGTGGCCTACACGGCCATACACCATCGGTAAGATCGAGTGAGAGTCAACACTGCTTTTCATCCCTTCCCTGCTTCTGCTGGAGCCTGGCAGCCCCCACTCACCTTACCATGCCAGCTCAGTCTCGGGTTTCTTCCTCACCGTTTCCTTTTGGGATGAGAAAACAGAGACCTCAGAGTTGGGGGTCCCATGCTGAGAGCTGGAAATACCCAACATGTGTTTCTTCCTGATATTCCACACTATGCCTGGGAAACTGGCCAGAGGGAATGCGAAATTACGTGTGAAAAACTTAGTTGTGTCTCCCTGACTCCATTCTCATGGTGGTCCTGTGATGGGAGGTGATGTCATCATGCTGTTTTGGAAAGGAGTAAGCCACAGAACAGGAAATGACTTACCCAAAGTCTCACTAGAAAACACGAGCATCACCATGCAAACTCAGAAGTTCTTTGTCTAGCCTGTGCCCAGCTGTCTCTTGTGACTCACAGCACATGAGTGTCAGCTATGGGCAAAGTCTGGAACTCAGAAACAATTGCTAAGATTCCTCAAGGCCCAGCCAGGCATGTCCAAATCCATGGCTTCCACAATCTACCCTTCCTTTCCCCTAAGAGGCTTCCATCTGTGCCCAGTGTCCATCAAAGTATAGAACAGAGAGGCTGAGGTAGGCTGGGCTAAGTAGTGAGAGCGGCATCCTGGAGGGCCGCAGGAGGCTGCCAGGCCACTTGAGGGGGACAGCCACTATGACCAGCTGCCCTGCCACTGGTTTCCCACCAGATACATGACGTTTGTCACGACCTGGAAACAGCCTGCTACATCAGCCAACCAGAAATCCAAACTCCCCGCCACCCCTGAGAGTGATTTCATCGAAGGCTTTCCTGCGAGATACTGGCTCCCGGCTTTCTTCTCTCCGCAAGGTGAGTGCCAGCACCCAGCGCACACCCACATCTGGCTCGGGCCCACCTGCACTCAGTAGCTCCGCCACCACTGGCCCCAAAGACAGGGACCTGAGCCTGCCCTGCCCCCACCTCTTCTCCTTACCCCATCTTCCCCACACCCAAGGTCCCACTAGGCCTTGGCAGGTCCCTTTCTCATCCCTAAGCCACTGGTTCTATTGGTATCAAATGCGGAATTCAGACTCCCCCCTAAGGCCTACACAAGAGGAAACACTACACCCTGGACACTCATTTATTAAAAAGAATTGATGGTAGAATGTCTGCTGTGCCTTACCTGGTCAGCACAAATACTCAGCAGGAAAGGTAGACACTAAGTGGGATATTGTCACCACAGCAGGGAGCTGAGACCCATAGGTCCCTGTGAAGAAGCCACAGTGGACTGAGCTCTACCAGGGCAGGAACAGGTAGGCTGGGTTGTTGTTGTTATTGTTGTTTTTCTTTTTCTTTTTTTTCTTTTTTTTTTTTTTGGTTTTTCGAGACAGGGTTTCTCTGTGTAGCTTTGCACCTTTCCTGGGACTCACTTGGTAGCCCAGGCTGGCCTCGAACTCACAGAGATCCGCCTGGCTCTGCCTCCCGAGTGCTGGGATTGAAGGCGTGCGCCACCACCGCCCGGCTGTTGTTGTTTTTCTGTTGCACCCCAAGTACCTAATTTGTCCAACACCAACAAAGCTCTCAGTCAATACCTGGAGAATCAATGTGTGACTTTGCAAATGAGTCAGAGTGAATCAACACTTAGTACATAAAACAGGGAGACCACAACTGATGGCCAGAGAAGGCCTCTGAGGGCTGGCTTCTGAGATGAGACCTGAAGCTTGTTACCAACCAGTACCCAAGCGGGACGGGCAGGAGGGAAGAACCAACCCTCACACGGTGCACAGGCTGCCAGCCCGTTCTGTTCAGACAGTTCCCTCAGTGGCCTGCCAAGGCTGTAATCATCTGCATGCCCAACCAGGGGAAACATGGCACAGAGAAGTTAAGAAACCTGCCTGGGGACCTGGAGAGATGGCTTACTCTTGCCGGTCCCCAGCACTGACGTGGTGGTTCACAACTCCAGTTCCGGGACACCAAGCACACATGTGGTACACAGACATACATGAAAGCAAATCACACATAAAATGAGAAATCTAATGGAAAAAAAAAAAGATTTTAAAAAGGGGGCAGGGGGAAGAAACCTGTCCAAAGTCCTACAACTGGTAACTTGGATGACTCTGAGGAACCCACCCAAGTGACCACATTTTGAATTTAGCCTGACTTAGAATCAAATGTTCAACCAAGGACAGACACAGGCCACAGACAGCAAATGTGGGCTGAAGCTGGAAAGATGGCTGTCGGGAGGCAGCAGGGAATTGTTGCAGGGGAGGGGCGGGGAGGTCATAGGCACCCGCTTGACAGGGAAGGGGGCATCGGCAGGCCAGAGAGGTTCAGGCTTGATCTTAGAGAAGTCTTTGCTCCAGTCAAAAGCTGGCAGTGGCTGGAGTAGGGGGTCATGGGACAGGAGAGGAGGAGACAGACTGAAGGAAAGTTAGGAGGCAGACCCAGCTGGCCTCCCTGTTTAAGATGATGGGGTAGAGGGCAGGCAGAGCTCAGGAGGCTCCAAGGCCTCCACTGGATTGGAAAGCTGAGGTCACTGAAATGGGGGACATGGGAGAGGCCCACAGACCCGAGGAAGAAATCATCCTCACACAGGTTGACTTTGCCCTTTGTCTGTACCCTCCCTCCATGTCACATGGGGCAGAACTGCCACAGGCAGGTTAATAAGCAGGCTAATGTCGGTATGGCATTGCTGGAAGAAGCTTCAGGCACCCCTGGGTTCCATACTCACTCATCTATGACCTATCTCTGCCACCAAGATTACAGTAAAGTACAATTATCAGTCACAATAAGATCAGAAAAGGCTCAGTTCCCACGACTGTAACCCCTCTCCCTGCACAAAGGGAGTGGGGAGCTGGACCTACACAAACAGCCCTCGTGCACAGGCCTGAAAGTGTGGGTAGCTGGTCCCTCCTGTCCTCCAGTCTCACCCCATGGTGTGTGACACTATTCCCAGGTAAGTGTCAACAAACTTCTATTCACACGAGATAAGGAACCAACCAAAATAAGGATACCACCAAAGTCCACCTCTGTGAACCAATGGATTAGGGTTATTTACAGGAGCAGAAATGACTCAAAGACAGTTGAGTCACCAAAGCCCACCCCAACATGGGTGACAGCTCATGAAAGCTGGAACCCTGAAGCTGAGTGGAAAATCTGCAGGCAGTTCAACAAGCTGGAGAGTCGTGTCCGAGAACTCCAGCATGTCTGAGAGTATCTCTCAGCAGTCCTTATTATTTACACTTGGGGAGGGAGGAGCCTGCTGAAACTGGTCAGTTTCAGGAACTTCCTGAAGTCTTTGAATCGCTTCCTTCCTGAGTTTTATGGAGCTTCTCCGTGGGATGGAATGTTTCACCTCCCTTGAGACTATTCTGCATCTTCCCAAGCCTCCCTCTAAAATGGAATGTTTTATCTAGGAGTAAACTGATACACAACACCCCATTCCCTTCCTTCCTGGTGTTTCCCTTCATCTCCATGGGGCAGCCATGGTGCCTACCCCACAGGAAACCTGAGGCTTACCAGAAACTTTGGCACTATATGTTTTTCTTCAAAGCCTTCCTCACTGCTGTGCTTCAAGACTATGGAAGGGCCCAAGGAATCTCCATGGATGTTCTCACTTTCACTCACAAAGTAATTCGTAGCACTATCGATAAACAGGAGGATGATTTCTCCAAACTTCTCCAGAAGAGGCTCAACATAGTCAGGAGAGCCTTCCAGGTACTGGGTGCTGAGGTGACTGGAAAAGGTCCAATCTGTTTTAATTTTTATTTATTTTGTTTTTGGGTTTGTGGTTTTTGTTTTTGTTTTGTTTTTGGTTTTTGGTTGTTTTGTTTTGTTTTTTTTTGTTTTGTTTTTGTTTTTGTTTGTTTTTTGTTTTTTGGGGGGGCTTTTTTTTCGAGACAGTGTTTCTCTGTGTAGCTTTGGCGCCTTTCCTGGATCTCACTCTGTAGACCAGGCTGGCCTCAAACTCTCACAGAGATCCTCCTGCCTCTGCCTCCCGAGTGCTGGGATTAAAGACATGCACCACCAACGCCTGGCCCCAATTTCCATTTTATGATGAAATGTATGACTTAAGTGTTCATAGTTCTGTGGGTTCTTACTAGTTTTGAATCTTTGTCTCAATGTGCTTCTGTCTTCAAGTCTTGTTCTTATAATTGCTTTAGCTATCTGTGATCCTTAGTATTTCCATACAACTTTTAGAATTTTTTTCTAATTCTGAAGATTATCTAGTTCTGTAAAGAATTTTTGTAGGAAGTGTACTGAATCTGAGGATTGCTTTTGGTGATATAGCCATTTTCAGACACTAATTCTGAAAAATCCAGGAACAGAGAGTCTTTCCGTCATCTGATATCTTCAATTCCTTCTTCAACATCTTAAAATTTTCCTTATAGAAGTCTTTTACCTCCCTGGTTAGGTTTATTCCCAGATTCTATACTTTTCCGGTTATTGTAAATAGGATATTTTTCCTGATATCTGTATCAGGAAGTTCAGTTTTGATGTATATAAAAGATACTAATTTTTTTTTTTTTTGGAGGGGGGTTGGTTTTAGGTTTTTGTTTTGAGCAGAGTCTCACTATGTAGCTCTGGCTGTCCCAGAACTTAAACTATGTAGATCAGGCTGGCCTGGAACTCAGAGATCTGTCTGCTTCTGGCTCCTGAGAGCTGGGATTAAAGGCATACACCACCACGCTAAAAGCTACTCTACTGAAAGCTTTTTGGTGATGCTTTTGGTGGAGTCCATCAGGTCTTTCAAGAATAAAATAATTTTATCTGCCAAACAGGATAGTGTCCTGGTTAGTCTGTCAACTTGACACAAGGTAAAGTTATCTGGGAAAAGAAACCTCAGTGGAGGAAACGCTGCAATCAGATTGCTTGTAGGCGAGTCCACAGGGCATTTTCTTGACTAATGAGTGTTGTAGGAGGGCCCAGCCCACTGCGGGAAGTGCTATCCCTGGACAGACGATCCTGATTGTGTAAGAAAGAGGCTCCGCAAGCCCTGCCTCCAGGTTCCTACCCTGTTGAGCTGCCGTCTTGGCTCCCTTCAGAATATTTAAGCTAAATGAATCCTTTCTATCTAAGTTGCTTTTGGTCATGGTCTGTAACACAGCAACAGAAACCTATCTAAGACAGTTTTTCTTCCTTCCTGATTTCGTTTACACCTTTCTCTTGTCTTCTTGAACACTTTATTCAATATGAGTGAAGACGATGGGCACCCTTGTCTGTGCCAAGAAAAAGTGCTGTTTTCCATCTTTAGCACAATGTTGGCTATGAGCTTGTCTATCACCTTGATTATAAGGAAGGCTCTGTCTTTCCCTCCTTTGCTCGGGACTTTTATCATATGTGGAATTTTCAATACTTTTTCTGCCTTCTGTTGAGATGATCATGCAATTTGTCTTTACATTTATTAATTACATTTTTATTGATTTGTATGTCAAATCAACCTTGCATCCTTGGAATGAAACCAGTTTGGTTGTGATGTGTGATCTTAATGTGATCTTAAAATCAGTTTCCAAGTATTTTGTGAAGATTTCTTGTATCTATATTCATTCAGATTGACCTGTAGTTTTCCTCTTTGTGGCCTTTATTCAAGTTCAGGACCTGTCTTGTGCTGGCTCCACAGAAAGAGCTTCGTAATGTTCCTCCCCTCTATTTTACAGAGTCTGACAAGTATTGGTGTCAGGTCTTCCTTGAAAGCTTGGTAGACTTAGCAGCATGTCACTTCTCCAGCCTTGACTGTTTCTTTATACTAAGACTTTTAATCAATGCTTTTTTTCTCCTGGTTTGCTATGGATATATTTACAGTGATATATTCTGGCTTAATTTTTGTAAGTCAATATACACTTAGAAATTTATCCATTTTGTCTAGATTTTTCAGTTTATTGGAGTCTAAGTTTTCAAAGCACTCCCTAATGATCTGTGGCTTTCATTAGTCTATTGTAGCAACTCCCTTTCTGTCGTTAATTTATTAATTTGCACCTTCTGTTTCTTTTGGTTAATTTGGCTAGTATTCAGTCAATCTTGTTGAACCGTTCAAAGAACCAGCTGTTTGTCTGGTTAATGTTGTGTGCTGGTCTTTCCATCTCATTCACCCTGCTCTGGTTTGTATTATTTGTTGTTCCCTCTAAGAAACTTTAGAAATTTGGAGTCTAGTTTCACCTCAGCATTCAGGGCAACATGAGGCAGGGATATACCACACTTCAGGGAGGGGGTATCACATATCGCAGACTTCTGCAAGAAGCATCCTCATCCTTCTTTCTCATCAGGAAAAGGACCAATCTCCCAGTGGAGTGTACATTTTTGGTTTATTCATTGAGGGAGCACGGTGGGATCCTGAACAGGAAGTCCTGGAAGACTCACTGCCCAGTGACTTATGCTGTGAATTCCCTGATATCCACTTTTTGCCAACAAAGGTAATCACCTAACTTGATAAGGAAATCCCTAACTTCTGAGCTTGAATTACCTGTGATCTCATGAGGGAAATGTTGAAGACTGGTTATCAGCACAGACCAAGTTCTCAGCACAAAGGAGATTTGCCCCAAAGAACAGAGGGCAGGAAATCAGAGACAAAGACAGGAGATAGAGGACGAGGGAGAAGGGAGAGGGGGAAGGGGTGTTTGTCCCAGAGGAACAGAGGACTGCCTCTGGATGGAAAGGAGACAGATGTGGAACATAGGAAAATGGCAGTTTATAAAGGTAGAAGGGGGAACCCTGTGTTAGGATGGGGTACTTAATTTTAATTGGGAATGTTAAATAGGGCAGTCAAAAGGGGCTTTTGATTGCTGGACTTCAATACTTTGATCACTGAACCTTGGTAGTCAGCCTCAGGAGGGGGAAGTGGCCAAATAAGAAAGTAGACCTTGGTGGCCAGCTTTAGGGATGTAAGTAAGCTAACGGTTTTTAGCAAGGCACAGGGAATGGGATGAAGGGCAAGGCCTGCCAATGCCATGTTTAAGTCATGCTCAGGCCTATTAGAGTCCCTTCAAATGTAATAATGTACTTTAGACAAAATAGTACCATATTGTTAAAGATCTAAAACTGATGTCCACTGTTATCTCTCAGGGATATTATACCGAAAGCTATCAAGTTATCTCTATTTTAACTTCTCTCGACACAATTTCAATATGGAACTTGACTATCATTAATTTAGTACAAAAAATGTATTTACCTCAAGCCTACTCACAGAAAATGTGATCTGTTGCTTTTGTTAACTGTTTTTAGATTGAAACATCCCAAGCTTCTGACCAGATAGACTCAGAGCTCCAGACTTTTGAATGTCCAATTTACCAAACACCTGACAGGACAAGAAATACTTTTACTGGTTTACCACCAAATTTCTTAACGTCAGTTCATCTGCCAACGAAGAAACCTCCTAGTCACTGGATCACCATGCAGGTTGCACTGCTGTGTGAGAAGAATGAATGAAATAAATATGCATACCAAAATAGTTTAAGTTTGGGCTCTACCCAAATTTGCATACATCACGACATTCACTTGTGGGGAACAACCTTGTACTGTCGTGTGCCTGCTCTGCCTCAGCACAGTTGTGTGCAACTTCACTAGGTAAGCAGGGTCTGTGCTAGCTTTCAAATGAACACGTGTGCTTCTGCTGTGAATACAGATTTGCTTCAAAGTGTTACAGACCCCACCTAGTGTTCTTAAACAGCAAAAACTTAACATGACCACTTTTTAAGAGTTGGGACTTCTGCCCCTACTCCTAAACTCTCAGATTCCCAACCTATTATTTGTTGGGGTTTTGTTTTTTGAGACAAGATCCCACACTCCAGTCCAGGATGGCCTCAAATTCAACCTCCTGGATTGCTGTGATTACAGGAATGAACCACCATTGGCTCAGGTTCCAGCAATCTGAAAGCTTTGATGAGTCTCTACAGCTCAGAAAGATCCAAACAAATGATCCTAGGAAAAAAAGTGGGTTAGAGTTGCAAAGGACAGGCCTCCTGTGTAACACCAGAGCTGCAGGAAAAAGAACGAGGCTCTAACGAGATCAAAGCAACTCTTTATTTCCAACTAAATCTTCTTATAAAGCTTGCCAAACATCAAAAGAAAACAACTTACAGCTGATACCCAGACACTGGAGCACTCCGACTCGGTTCTCACTACCAGGCAAAGAACCCAATGTCTTTCATCTTACCAAAATTCCCTTTAAGTTCAGCACATACATGCCAATACCAGGAGAAAAGCAATATAGAAAAACACCTGCTTGCAGACCTTAGTACTAGTAAAACATCAGTGACAATTTCATAAAAACAGTCTAAAAATGATAGAACACAGTGTCAACTTCATGATCACAGTAACATAAGCTACTTTACATACACTCTAAGCTTTGGAGCAGAATGAACATTTTGCATCTGGCTCATATGTGATATGTGTAATTGAAACCCAAAAGTATACACTATAATTACATCCTTATGTTTAAGATTCTGGGGACAATGTAGTTTTGAATATAAAAGTCTAGTGAATTTGCCACTTGTCCAGGACAGTTACTATGACATTAATCAACTTCACTAGAATTCAGTGGCTACCACCAGCTTAGTACATCTATTAAACTGAGACAGAAAACAAAAGTTTAAGTCAGCTCCTTAAAGTTGTTTCAGGTTGAATTCCTTTCTAGAGAGTTCTGAAGACATAAAGGATACAAAATAGTATAAACTCTATAAGCTAAACTGTAGCAAAAACACTGTTGAATCTTAAGTCAAAAATATACAAAAATAGTAGCCTGAAATGGCAATTTTTCCAACACCAATGTGTGTAAAAAAATGTTTAAATAGTGCTGTTACTCCAAAAATATACTTTTTTTCCTATTTGCAACAGTTTATAAAGGCAAACACACCTGCAAATTGAGGTAGCAAAGCCAAATTCACAAACTTTGGATAAAAATAACTTTCCTATGTTTTAAACTTTAAATGAATTCTAATTGCTTTACATTTTTAAATTCACATTACTTTACAAAAACTTAATTTAAAACACTGAAAATGTTTTTGTTTAAAAAAAAAAAACTACTTAGTTCCTGACAATTATCTCACATTCAAAAACTGTACAGAAAAATCACAAGTCACCATATATTACATAAAAGTAGGCTATGTATTTACATTTCCAAAAGCACTTTTAAAGTCTGAGGTCAAGCCACTGCTATGAATGGTCGGTCACCCTCAAACAGGGCCTGCAAGAGACCTGCCTGCTCTTCACAGAGACCACCAATACTAGGCTGGGGTTTGCATGACCTAGATTTAGAATTTTCATTCCTGTCTCTTTAAGCACAATGTACTTACACAGCATCGATGTACTTTAAGGGTTTTCACTTAAGAAAATTCAAATGGCAAAAACAACTGAAAAATCAAAACACTACAAAAATAAGACTTCAGATTTTTAGGGATGAAAATTTCCTATTAACAAACAAATCCTACCCCGTTTTTCCTTTCCCTTATGTTAATGCTACACAACTATAGAAAGGAGCTACTATTTGGCTCTATAGTCCTGACTCAAACTCCAAACCTAGAGATCCTGTCAGTGCATCAACAGTGAGCTCGTCTGGACTTGGTGCTGTTGTGCGAGGGTCTGGCCGGCTGAGCCCCGGGCACGTCAGTAAACATAGGGGAATATGCGGTAGGGCACGCGCTGGCAGTACTTCTCCCAGGCCAGGCCGTACTTCCTCTTACACTGGTGCTCATCCCGTGCTTCTCGGTGCACAAGCAGCATGGTGAAGTAGATGACGTAGAAGTACGGCAGGACGTGGTTAAACCCTGTAGGTGACAGCAGCCACTCAATTGATTTCCACTACATGGTTTTTCCTGATTTCCCTCCAATACCCGAAGAACTAGTTTTCTGAATCAAGGTATGCCAAATCATAAACCAAATGTTCCATACAGTCTTCTTAGGAAAGCCAACTCAAAATATTCCCAATCCCTTCAGACACCAAGAAAGCAGACCCCAGAGCCCAGAACAGGCAGGTGCTCTCACCCCAACCAATGACACAGAGTGATCAAGTCGGCACTGAGATGCTTACCACATGGAAGGGACCACGCCAGAGCCATGATGAGATCACCCAAATAATTGGGATGGCGAACAAAGCCCCACCATCCAGAAACAAGCAGACTCTTCCCCGTGGAAGTATGAATGGTCTTTAAGTCTATATAAAAACAAAAACCTCTTTTAATGACCTCTAAAAGATGATGCATCGAGACCTACACATAATACACAAATATCAATCAACAAACTGAAATCCTTACGTGCCAGCTTCGGGTCACTGGGGTTCTTCCGGAACGCGTTTTTCTGGGAGTTCGCACAACGGAAGATGACGTAGCCACAGACTGAAATTTTAAAATAGTTTCCTGTTATTACGTAACTGAGACGTAACCGAGCATCTCAAGTCATCTGGAATCTCTGAAAAACTGGTGTCTGAGGTCTAAGGAAATGTGCAAAAACAGTCTGATTTCTTAAAAACAAAACACCCAGTCCCTGAATCTCACTCATCATCCATCTTGAAGGCAAAACTAACACAACCCGCCAGCCATGCCCACAAAGAACAGGGTCTGGGACAGCGGCAGCGGACACTGGCTCCAGGCCATCTTGTCTGCTCTCTGAGACGTGCAGATACTTCCTCGGTAAAATACCAGCTGAATCAGAAGCCGGCATCCGCACTTCAGTGTGAAACCCCTCAGCTTGGCAGAGGTACCCACACTTCAACAGACCCTGACGTGGCACTTACCACACAATCTGAATAACAAATAACAAATAAAAAAACCTCCACTTCAGCCTCTGTAAGATCAGACTGTTTTTGATTAACTCACAGGTGCCACTGACAGGAATAATCAATGGAGACACCAGGTGCTTGGGTTTCTTCTTCCATCACAGATACTCAGTGTCCTAAAACTAGCTCTATTTGAAGTTCAATGCTAATTTTCCCATCCACTTCGGGTGAAGGTTTTGAATGATCACAAAGGACTAAAGGAAAACCACCTGACCTGAAAAACAGGCCTGGTAGCCCTCACAGCAGCCAAACTGGACTTCTCCCTCTGCCCGCCACCCCTTACCTGTGCTGACTTGGCTCCCTGCCTGTCTTCCCACCGAGCCTCAAAACCCACATCCTCCAGTAAGTACAAGGTTATATTTTCCCCAGGACTGGCTCCCTTTCCACTGCCTGCTGCGGTCACACACGCCCCTCAGTACAGTTCATGGGCACCTCAGGCCACGGTATCTGGTATTGTGTCTACAGTAAGACCAAAAGTTGTATGAGACCAATCTCATTTTTAAGATCTCTAGAAAATGCAGGCATCTGAAAGAGAAGAGAAACTGTTCCTAAAGCATTTCAAATTGTTTAAGTTCAATTGCTTAAAGTAAAATGTTCCAATGAGAGGATCAGTGGAGCTAGCATGTCTTCCACTCTCTTTGCGAACTTCAGAATTTTCTCAGTACTTCTCCATCATCAATTATTTCAAAGCTGTGATCAAGGATGATGGGATGTGACAAGAGCAGACGCAGGACCTCAGACTGAGCGGAGGCCGACACTCACGTTTCAGAGCAATGATGAAAGAAGCAAAGGGCCAGGACAAGTCATGGGGATGGCTGACCAGGTAAAAGGCCTGAAGGCTGTAGGTGAATGGGACCCACACTAAATCCCCAAAGGCCAGCATGAAGCCAAAGCCATCGTGGACGATGTCCATGGTAGTCAGCAACGCTTCCTAAAATGAGATGGGAAGAAAATATAGATATAAAAAGTAAAAATATAAAATAAAAACCACCTTATGTTTAAATGATTTAAGCAAAGTACTAATTTATGACCAAGTATGTTAAGTGAAGGCATACCAAAATGTTGAAAGGCAGGAGTTCAGTTGCTCTGGCCTAAGTCACCATGTCCCACCCATCCTGCCTCTTCCTCACCCTAAACTCCTGCAGTAACAGGAGTAACAGACCTCTAAACCGCCCCACCCCCAGGCTTCTGCCTTTGCCCAGGGCCTCCCTGACCTCACCTTCCTGCAGCCTCAGTCCCTTTCCCTTCCCTCCCTCGGCAGCCTTCCTGACCCTGCACTGGCCAGCCCTTCCTTCTCAGTTGCCAGCATTATGGGCTCCAGAAAGCCACCAGCCACTCTACCTGCCCACTCACGTTCTTTGCTGCATTGTGAGCCTCTTCTGTCAAATGTACATGCCTGGCAGAGGTGAGGGGTTCAAAATGTGTTTGTGGAAAACCAGGATAACCACCAACCAAATCTGGATCATCTGAACTCTCCTATGCATTTTCCACAGAAGCAGCAAGCCGGCTGGCAACAAGGTAAACCAACGGTTTCACACCCATGCACACTCTAAGAGCCGATGAGCATGAGCACATGGTCCACCAGATGTGTCTGAACCAAGATACCTGAAGGCCAGACTCATGAGCACATATCTGAATGGCTGAAACTTTGGTTCCTGCCCTGGGGTAGTACAACTAGCTATTGTAGAGCTCTACTGAAAAACTAGTTCTGGGTTAAAGAAAAAAGTAGTACCTCCAAACGCATCTACCCCAGATCATCATGGAATAAAAAGTCAGAGGTCACAAATCTAGGCCCTAAAGCTCACACCCTAGGAATCAGAATGATACTTATTATGCCTATCAGCTCTGGGGGCCTATGCTCTGATAGGAGGATAGGATAAAGGTGACTGAGGAGCACAGGGGACAGGGCAAATAAAAACAAATACTGTGACAAAAGCCAGTGAGAGGAATGAGTGTAATGAAGCCCGGGACCAATGAAGACCCTAAACCCTGCTCAGACTCCAAGGGCCTCAGACAGACTCCTCTCCAAATCAGGTGCGTCTACATGGGCAGTCTCCGTTTCCTGTGGCGATAGACTGAAAATGTCCCATCAAGTGCTAATTTACAAGCAGCTGCCAGGTGCTGAGGAAATTATACAGTGAAGTCTCGCCCTTCTTTATAATCTAGCTGAGACACTGAGAACAGGCAGAAACTTCCCAACTCCAAGCCTCCTATTGATATCCCCTGAACAGTTTTGCCTTAAGTAGCCGGGGAGAATGCTAAGTAAAGTGAGTGTCGTGTATGCACGAAGGCCCAAGTTCAATCCCCAGAACCCACACTTTAAAAATGAGGTGGTGTGCACCTGTAACCCTAGCCAGGGGAGTCAGAGACGGGTGGAGCCCTGGGGGCTGCTGCTCAGTCAGCCTAGCCTACTTGCTAAGTTCTAGGCCAGAGACACCTCATTTTAAAACAGTCCAAAAGGTGACACTGAGGTTGTCCTCAGGGCCTCACATGTGTGTGTACATACACACCCATGCAGGAGTACCTATGTGCATATGTACACACAAGTTTTTCCTTAAGATGCTAACAGAATCCCCTGTTAAATGCTTGGAAAGTCACTTCTGAATAGAGCTGTTGACACACCTACCAGGGCCCACGTGCAGGCCCCTGAGCCACTACATCATTACCAACAAGGCAGGGGCAGGCCATGCCACCCTCACTCTGTGTAAGCAGCTCACGCTCCTCAGAGAAAAACCAACTCTCAAAGCTGCTTGACTTCATGGCCTCCAAGAACTCAGCTCTTCAAACTATCTTGTGTAGTCTCAGAAATGCACTCCTGTAATCAAAACTTGAGAGGCTCAGACAGGAAGATCACAAGTTCAAGCCAGCATGGACTACTAGGACCTCAAAAAAAAAACCAACAAAAAAAAAAAATTACCTCATTCCACAGGGCATCCACCACATACAAGAGCTGGAAACTGTTAACCAAGACCATTGCCAAGGATGGGACATCACGTTCTTGTACTTTCATTTCAGCCAAAAGCATCACCAAGTTAACCACCACCTGGAAAAAGAGGCAGGAAACACGTCCAGGGACAAGCAGAGCTGACAAGTCCAGGCCACACCACCCCAAGGCCACCAATGAACAAGACACCTCAACCCTGACGAGTGGCACTCCTGTGGCACTCCTGCTGACATACAGCCCTCACTCTCATCATGAGAACACGGTGGAGACCAAATTAAAGGATGGTCTTAATGACTGGTCAGTATCTTCAAAGCAACCTGCACAGACCAGAGGAGACGAGGGACAAGAAGAAAGAATGGAGCGGCCGTAATGCACTAAGGTGACCCAGGAAGGACTCCAGTCTTCTTACTAACAGGTCTCCTGTCCGTGACGAGCCAGACATTAATGCAGGAATCCGGCTAAAGAATACAGGGGATTCTTGGCTCTAGTTCTACAATTCTCCAAGTCTAAAACTGGGTCAAAATAAGGTCTTATTGGAAAGGGGAGGGAGACTATTTTTTACATCATTCCATCTACACTATCACTTTCCTAGATATATGTAAAAATGAAAAAATTCTGCGATGTTTAATAATCCATAACAAAGTATCTTAAACCTGTAAAAAAATATAGTAAGAAAACTGTAATTATTGTTCTTTAAAACTGCCTACATTTCCTTCTAGATGTAAGATAAAGTCATACCACTGAATTTTAACAAAAATAAAAAACATACCCATCCAATCAATCCAGGACGCAATTCACAAAAGTATTTGAGATCAAAAGCGCCAATTCGAGGATTTAATTCACGGCCAATGAAGAAATCATAGACAGCATTTCCTGGGAAGGGACAAGTGTTTACCCAGTCAAGTCAAGTCTTTAAACCCAACTGCTCCCCATTACCAGGTCCAATCTGCTCCCTCAAGAGACTGCAGAAGTGAGAAGCCAAGGACAGGGAGACAGACCGGGTAGCCAGTGCTGCCCCGCCTCCTGAGAGCTCATGTGACCAGACAGATCCCCCAACTCTAAGAAACAGGAAACTTTTTTTTGGTTTGTTAAGACAGGGTTTTTCTCTAACATAGCCCTGGCTGTCCTGGAACTCACAGAGATCCACCTGCCTCTGCCTCTGGAGCACTGGGATTAAAGGCGTGCGCCACCACACCTGCCTCTGGTTTTTTTTAAGTATGCAACTTTTTTTAAATTTTATAATAGGAAACTTTTTTTAAAAAAAACAGGTTCTCACTATGTAGCTCTGGCTGGCCTCAAACTTGGAGAAATCCTCCTGCCTCTGTCTAACAAGTGCTTGGACTAAAGGCGTATATTACCACATCCAGTCCATAGGAAACTTCTACAAAATATCTTAGGTCAGAACCAAACAACTTGCAGCCTGGTTTTGTTTTCCACTTTTTAAGGGATTTATTACTTGGCAAAAATAAACAAACAGATAATAGACAGGAAGGATAAATAAAAAATTGTGCTGCCAGAGGTTTTTAGTCATCTAATAACTAAAAAATGAATGAAGAAAAAAACATTTGAACTTTGCCTTCAATTGTTTTCCTTCTTAGGTCTCTTCATTTCCCACAATTAAACTAGGGGAACCACAGCAGCAGGTACTCAAGTGCAGCCATGGCTACCGAGGCTCTAGGCACCCCCAGGGAACACGTGGTGTAACTGCTCACCAGAACTGGCCGGGGACAGCTCATCCCTCGGGGCCTTCAAAGAGTGGGCGTAGAGGTAGACACTCAGGAGCACTGAGAAGAGGACGGCCGCCAGTGCAAACTGAAGGAAGTGAGTGTACACATAGTGCAGCTCCATGCCCCAGAAGAGAGACGCTCCCACGGCGGCGGACGTCAGCACAAAAGCGTAGAATCCTTGGGGGAGAGAGAAGTTAGTTAATATCATCCCGGGGCTCACATTTAGGTTGCCCAAATTAGCCTTGATTTCTTGGGCTCAAAACACCCACACCCACACACCTTATCCTCCTGGGCACAAGGAGCTACTAGCCAGTGCAGTGTTTTTATATTTCAGTCTCATTTTCATTATCCATATTATAGTCAGAAATATGCAAATGTGCAATGTCCTTAAGATGTAAATACCAGAGCTCTAGTACTGTCTTTCAAAAATGTTAACATTCGTTTGCACTATGAAGCATCATTACCTACTGTTAACTAAAGGAAAGCTGAAAGGAAGGTTATAGAAATGTCCTGTTAAATTGAAAAGAATCTCAAAATGCACTACTCCAAACTGTCAGAGTCCAAAGCCAAATGACTAGCTCCCAACAGAGACTGGCAAGCACACATTTTCAAATCTAATGCTACTTAGTAGCAGAATGATTTTAGTAGGCATAAAACTATTAATATTTATGTTGGAATTCACTAGTCAGTAATGGTATAAAGATTCCGTTTATATTCTGCCACCTAGAAAACAGATGTTAAGATACCCTACCCCCACAACAGAGGCCACAAGCAAACTCTGAGGAAACCAAGTGTGGTCACTCCTACTTGTCATCCCAGGACGTGGCTAGACCAGGCTACACCCATGCACAGGCGGACTGAAACCCCTGAGAGGGTCTACAAGTCAGTTCACTGGTGCCCGCCAACCATGTGCGCTGTGTCTGTGTGTCTGTGTGTTGGGTGGGGAGAGCAGTTTCTGCTACAGAAATTATTTTCTTGCAAAAGCTGAAGTGCTGAGGTATGGTCCAGATGAAGTCATCCAATTGTATTTCAATTAACAATCAAACACAGAAAAGCCATGACCACTAATGAGGTTTCTAAGCTTTGCTAAAGTTATGAGGGACATCACAAATTTGCTATCTAAACTCATGTTTTCTACATACCAACTTTATTCCAAGGAATAACTTTAACCCTCATAAAATTTATGAAGTGGTCAACACAGTTGCTTTTCACTCTATAGTTTATGCAAATTAATCACTCAAAATGTCTTAGGAATTTCCTTAGTGGTAAAACCCATAAAAAGAAATCAAGTAATATTAGAAGCAAAAATAAACAGAGGAGGGAAGTTTTTACAATGGGACCAAGTGCCCAGGTGCAGTGCTCGGAACAGACCACACCCTCATCGGAGACAAAACACGGCTCAGAAAACCAACAAACCAAGAGCAAGAGACCCGAGGGCAAAGTAAACGCCCACTTCTGCCTAGACCCCACTGTCGCAGCCCAGCGCAGACAGAAGACAGAGCATGTCAGACTCCCAGACAGGGCCCACCAGTAAGGAGCTCAGCAAGAACAAAAAAGATGGCCAGTACAGCAAACATGGTCTAAGGCCTGGCAGAGCTGGCTGGATGGCTTACAACCTGGCACTTAAAGGCAGGCAGTCCCCAAAACATTTCTGCTTCCCTTCTAGAATCCTGTAGAATGATTTCAGGTAAAAGTCCTGGGCAAGCCAGTAAAAAAGTACCACCCAAAACTAGCAGAGAAGGAAACCAAACACTAAAATTTATTCAGACCATTCCTCGCTTACAATGGCTCAACTTAGGAACTTTCTACTATAGCATGCACAGGACAAAAAGCAAGACACATTCAGAGCCATACTCAAATTTGGATCCAGGCAACAACATGCCATATGATGTCCTCTCCTGGGACTGGACAGTGCAGTGAGCTGCATGATCACAAAGGTGACCAGTGGATGCTCTACAGTGGTAGGTCAGCTGCAGAAAGTACATCTGCAGCTTAAGGTATGGCCACACTAAGACGGACTTATACAGACATAAACACAGTCCTAAACTGAGGAGCATTTGTCATAGAATTCAAAAAGAAAACGAGTCACTCCACCCAAGCTAGTAAAATGAAAATCTTTTAAGAATAACTACCGCACAGATTTCTTAAAATAGCATTAGTGCAACTTCATCACAGTCTTCAGAGGGTAAAGTTGTACCAAACCCCAATACATGTGCTGACCACAGAGATACCCAGACCAAAGGGTCAAGGTGTTCCTTCCCCACACAACACAAAGGCACCGATGAGTGCCCACAGCTTCCTAGTGTCTGTCAAGTGGACAGTAAACACAACCTAGCCCATACAACTACATCCCACCAGGAACACTCCAGGAAACAGACGACACTGATGTGGGAAGGCATAACTGCCAGAAAATAAAAGAAGGCAGGCAAGAAGGGACCCAAAGCTTTCTCCTTGCTTTTTCAGTTAACAGTGAATTCCTACATCCTTCCTTACAACTTCCCCTTAATTAAGAAGCAATAATTACAGCTTCATGGTGTAACAAGCATGCAGGTAAAGATGCAGCTTTCAGGTAAAGTTGACAAAAAGAGTGGACACAATTCAAGAGACAGCTCAGAGGCCAGTCAGCTGAAGCCACGCAATCAAGGACAGGAAGGATCAAAGGTGTGCGCCGCCACCTCCGCCTGGAAAATGGTAAATGCTATTAAGAAAATTAAAAGTGGTGGTGGCACATGCCTTTAATGCCAGCACTTGAGAGGGAAAGGCAGGTGGATCTCTTTGAGTCTGTGGCCAGCCTGGTCTACAGAGTGAGTTCCAGAACAGCCAAGGCAACACAAAGAAACCCTGTCTCAGAAAAATAAAAAGGAGAGAATAAAACATGCTGGAGAGAGAGCTCTGTGGTTAAAAGTATATGCTGGGCACCGGAGGGATGGCTCAGTGGTTAAGAACACATACTGCTCTTTCAGAGGACTCAGGTTCAGTTCCCAGCACCCCATAGTGGCTGACAACCTGAAACTCCAGTTCCAGGAGTCCAACACTTTTCTAGCAGCTCCCACACACACGGTGCACGTGGTGGTTTGAGTAGCTATGGCCCCCATAGACCCATGTGTCTGAATGCTTGGCTTATATGGAGTGGCACTATTAGTGTGGCCTTGTTGGAGGAAGTGTGTCACTGAGAAGGTAGGCTTTGAGGTCTCCTATGCTCACACTACATCTAGTGTGGGACATGGTTCATCTCCTGTTGCCTTCAGATCAAGATCAGCTATCTCTCCAGCACCGTGTCTGCCTGCAGGTTCCCTTGCTTCCCACCATGATGACAATGGACTAAACCTCTCAACTGTAAACTAGTCACAATTAAATGTTTTCCTTTATAAGAGTTGCCGTGGCCATGGAGTCTCTTCATAGCAACAGAAACCTTAAGTCAGACAGTGCATATACACATACTCAGGCACATGCATGCGCGCGCAGGCACACACACACACACACACACACACACACACACACACACACACACACACACTCAAGTAATTAAATAAAAAACAAAGGTGAATGGCTGCTCTTCTCAACCTAGGACACCACTTTAGTTTCCCAGTACCCACATGGCTGCTCAAAATGGTTAGTTGCTGTGGGATGGTCTGTATGTCAAATAAAACACTGATTGGCCAGTGGCTAGGCAGGAAGTAGGTGGGACAAGGAGAGAGGAGAATTCTGGGAAGCGGAAGGCTGAGGCAGAGAGACACTGCCAGCTGCTGCCATGACCAGCAGAATGTGAAGACGCCGGTAAGCTACCAGCCACGTGGCAAGGTATAGGTTTATGGAAATGGATTAATTTAAGCTATAAGAACAGTTAACAAGAAGCCTGCCACGGCCATACAGTTTGTAAGCAATATAAGTCTCTGTGTTTACTTGGTTGGGTCTGAGCGGCTGTGGGACTGGCGGGTGACAGAGATTTGTCCTGATTGTGGGCAAGGCAGGAAAACTCTAGCTACAGTTAGTGACTCCAGTTCCAGAGGATCCAACACCTACTTCTGACTGGCATAAATACTTATATCCACACATGCAGGCAAACACTCATACACATAAAATAAAAATAAATCTTTAAAGGAAAAAAGAAACTAACCAGGCTAGCGGCACACACTTGTAATGTCAGTACTCAGGAGGCTCAAACACAAGGGCTAGCCTCTACTACAAAGTGAATTCCAGGCTAGCCTGTGTGACATACCGAGGTCCCATCTCAAACAAAGTAGAAGGAAAAGAGAGCCAGATACTTGGAATAACTATTCGGTTCACACAGCATTTTTCTTATTAGCTACTAGAATAAGTTAATTTAGTCACAATTCTTCAAACTACTAAAAGATAATCTACTGTTCAATATCCCAGTGAATCAGTGCCAACAGTTTAAAAACTATAAAAGTTAGATCATTGAATATTTAAGGAAATCACCATTTAGTCTATACTTGAGTCTTCTTCCATCAACAAGAGGTGTTCCTTCTACAACCTTAAAAGAAAAAAAAACATTAAATTTTAATTTAAAAATTCAAGCACATTATCACCTTTCTTATATACACACATATATAAGCATGTGATCTTCTCAAACTCTTGAATTTCACTATACCCAAGAAAGTAAGTATCTCACAGTAGAAAATTCAGTAGTATGTGATGGCAAGCCCTTGATGAAGCAATCCCACCGTCAGGCATTTACCTTAAACATGGAGCTAGGAATTTCTCAGTGCACCAGGATTACTTCAACAACCACCCTTACCAAGCCCTCCCATGCACAGTACAGATTTAGTGTGCTCCAAACTCTCCACTGGCTTCCCATCACTAACAAAATGGTCTCACATTTGTGAGGCTCTCTTCAAGAAAAAAATATGAACAATAAAACAAATCACACACAGAAATTAACAGGACCCACGATCTACAACTCAATGAACTTCCATAGTTAGAATAGTCATTCAGAAAGGAAGTTATGGAGCTTCCCGTTCCATTTTACACTTTCAGTATGGAATATATTTTATGTACTACCTATGATCACAACCAGAAAAACCCATGACAGGATTAGAACCAGAAGAACAACTAGCTTTATATCTTCTTTCATAACTGTGTCCATCACTTGCATTCTGTCCTTCCTCTTATATTTAGCCTTTCTTTAGTTAAAAAGGAGAAAAAGCTGCAGGAAAATGATGCTTAGAATGTATGAAGTGAGGTCACACAAACTCAAAAAGAAAGAAATGTGCATGCTCCCTCTCATATGGGGAATCTAGCCAATAATATGCACATATATGTAAACAATAGTTTAACAAGAAGGGCTTTTTCAATCAGGCTGTGTGCTGCCAACACCATGTATACATTGACTTGTTCCACTGTTTACACATGCTCCTCTACTAGGCTGAGTGCTACTCTCCAGCAAAGGACTATGAGCATACTTCCCAAGTGGGAACCACCATGGCAAACCCACAACACGCAGCACAGCGAAGCCCCCCAAGAGGGTGAGAATGCTGCCTGAGTAAATGGGCAGCCACATATAGCCTCAAGCAGCTACTCAAAAATGTAGCTGTTCACTTTAAACTGCCCAACACTAAGATAGCATCATCTGCCAGCACCTCTGCATTTGCTGTGGAACGGGAACCCAGGATAGAAATGTAAAACCTGAGATCACAGGATTGGCGGAACCCCAAGAGACCCTTCTCGATTGCAGGTGTCTTGTTGGGCTTTAGTCTGATAATACAGATACAGGATTTCTCGACCTTGAGTCTGTCTGACACATAGTATCTATCTATCTGTCTGTCTATCTATCTATCTATCTATCATCTATCTGCATATCTCTATCACTTTGGTTTGTGTGTATGCATGATTTTTAATCACCAAAGCTAATTTTCCAAATAAATGTTATCTAGCTTAGATAAGCCTCATGATATATTAATCTGAACAGAGCCTACAGTAAGAATGACTGTAGGTCCATCATCACAGGAGCCCAGGACAGCCAGTAACAATGAGATGCAGCTCTGTCCTGCTAACACAGCTTCCAGCTGGCAAAGCTGCAGTCTCCTAAGAATAAGGTCTGAATAAATGATGTACTGTTTAGGACAGCTCATGTTCAACATCTAAGGAAAAGCACACAGCTGAAGGCAGGCTTGAAAAGATACTAACTACATGAGTCTGAAAAGGACTCAGTGTTCTTGACAAAGTTCTAAGGATGGAAACTGGAAACAAACTTTAATCTGCATTTTGATTCTTTTTTTTAACCACGGAGCTCAGAAGACAAGGACTTAAGATGTTGTACCTGAAGTGAACACACTGAGGAAGTATTCTCTTCCCCAGCTGCTCCACCAAGAGCCAGACTGCCATTAAATGGCTCACTCTTCTCTGAATTGCAAGGTGTGACAGAAATACTGAATATCAACTTGACAAGATCAAGAATCACCTCAGGGCAAACCTCTAGGCCCAGCTGTGAGGAAGTTTCTAGATTGGGCTGAGGTGTGAAGACCCAGCACCATTTCACGGGCGAGGCTCCCAGACTGAAGAAAGAAGAGAGGAACGGAACAATGGCTCAGCGATTAAGAACACAGGCTGCTTGCTCTTCCAGAGGACCCAGGGGGTCATTCCCAGCACTCACATGGAGGCTCACAAACATCTCTAACTCCAGTCCTAGGGGATCTGATGCCCTCTTCTGGCCTCTGAGAGTATTGCACCCACACAGTGCACTTACACAAGCAGGAAAACACTGACATGCACAAAATGATACAATAATTTCTGAAAAAAGGAGAAAGAAAGCTGAATGCTATTAGTCATCCTCTCTCTGCTCCAGTGATGCAATGACCAGCACCTCACTCTCCAGCCACCATCATTTCTTTATATGGATGCTACCCCCAAACCATGAGCCAAAGTAATTTGCTTTTTCTTGTCGGGTATTTTATTTAAAAAGCAAGAAAAGTAAATACAGGTAATTAGACAAGAAATCTAAATCACATTTTTAAAGTTATGCTTAATATGTGAAGAGTTATAGGGCACAGAAATAACTGTTTTAGTGTATAACTGACAGCTTCTAACTTTGAAACTGCTATAAATGTAAGCAATAGCAAAGAAGTCAGACGTCTAAGTTTCACAATACCATGCCTCTTCAGCCAGGATGGCACACGCCTTTAATCCCAGTACAGGAGAAGCAGAGACACACAGATCTCTGTGAGTTCAAGGCCAGCCTGGTCTACCTGGTGAGGTCAGCCAAGACTATACAACAAGAACCATGTCTCCAAAAAAAAAATACAAACCCCAAAATCTTACCTTCCCAATCGGCAGAAGGTAAAAGAGAGCCTGAACAAAAAACCAGAGGAGGTAGATGCCGCACACTCTGGTTTCCCAGAGTTGGTCCAAAGCTGGCAGAGGAGGGGGGAACGTCAGCAGGCTGGGGTCCTTCTGTCTGCACTGTAGCAGCAGCAGGAAGAGGGTGGCAGGCAGGCCGAGCATGATGAGGAAGGCACCTGCAAACAACAGGCCAGGCAGACTCCTCACACTTCAGTCTGTTTAGTTTCCAAAGTCCCGCGGGCTTTTTACTTATGTATACTGACATATATATACTGACATATATATTTACTTAGGGCAACACTAGCCTGCTAGCTGTTTGAGACCAATCTATAAAGTAGCATCAAAAACTCGCTTATCCAGGGGCGGAAGAGATGGCTCAGTGGTTAAAAGCACTTGCTCTCAGAGGACCTGCATTCAGTCCCCAACATCCACAAGGTGGCTAGCTCACAAACATCTGTGACTCGGTGTTCTTGTGACCTCCCTAGTCACCAGGCACACACGTGGTGCACATACAAACATGCGGGCAAACATTCATACATATGAAATGAAATACATAAATCTTTAAAAAAAAAACAAAAAACGCTCCCTATCTCAGGCTGAGGGAATGAATGGTTCAGCAGAGAAGGGCATTTGCCACAAAAGCCCGACAACGGGAGTTCAAACCCCAGGATTTACATGTGGAAGGGAAGGAGAGGATTAACCCTGACCTCTGCATGAACACTACAGCATTAGCTTGCTTACTCTCTCTCCTTCCCCCTCCCACCACCACACAAAACAGTAATAAAACGTAGTAACGTTTTAAACTCTATTCTCCCTGTCACATGCCCACACAACTTGGGTGAGGGAGGAAAGCATGAACTCACCTCAGAGACCTAACTCTGAAACTTTCAAGTCCAGCTACCACCAAAAAAAGAGCAAGTGCTAAGATCCGGACACCAAACCATGGTCACTCTGATCTTTTTGAGGAGAGGAAACAGGATCTCGTTACAGACCCTACACTAGCCTTGAGCTTACTATGTAGCTCAAACTGGCCTTGAACTCTATAGATTCTCTTTCCTCAACCTCCCAGTCCTGGGTTATAAGCATGAACCACTATACTCAAGCCTGAAAATGGGCCCTCTAATCTCTTCTCAAGACACGGTTTCTCTGTATAGCTCTGGCTATCCTGGATCTCGCTCTGTAGACCAGGCTGGCCTTGAACTCACAGAGATTCTCCTGCCTCTGCCTCCCGAAAGCTGAGATTAAAGGCATGCGCCACCACCTCGCAGCAAGCCCTCTAATCTTAATAGACTTCATATCCATAAATTTCTAACATTTAACATACTGTCACACTTACAGAACACATACAGAACCATCTGTGAAAGACCAACTAGCAAGGTGTTGTAAGTTACAACAAGCAGAACAGGTAAGCCCAGCAGACTGAGCTGTTTGGCTGAGGTCCTAAGCTTTCACCAGCTTCTCATACTCACTACTCCACAGGCTCTGCACACTGCCTAGCAGGCAGGGGAGAGCAGCAGGATGCTTTACGCTGCAGCTTGCTCCTGCTAGGAATGCAAGCCAGGCCCTGCCATCTCCACTCATCACAGCTCTCTGCCCTACAGGACCACCCCTCCCTTCCTGCGTCCCTCCCCTGGGCAAACTCTCTTCACCACCCCTTTGCAATTCCATCCTCAGGACCTAACAGACAGCTGAAGCTTTAAAGAGAGCCACGTCAGCGCCCTTTCTCCTCAGGCCTTTCTACCACTGCTCCTTCTCTGGAAAGTTCTTCCCCAGTCTCCCATCTCCTCATACTCTCTCCTTGCTGCACGGAGACCCTTCCTGTGCACATGGGAGCAACTCTGCCCACGCTTTCTCCTCCTCATGGGGTTCTAACACCTACCAGGTACTCCTCCAAACTCCAAGTCCTTCCTCTGTGGAGTGGTCACCTGAAAGGTCTCCAAAGGTGCAGGTCCTCTGGGAACAAGCTTTTGTTCCTTGGACTCGACCTCCTTGACTTTGACCTCTTCTCTTCTTGGACGAAGGCTGTACTGGGTAGCTGTGTAACTGCCTTCTGGTGACAAAATAATTCTTTCCTAGTTTGAAGAAAAAAGTATTAAATATCGGTAGTTTACAATTAATGCAAATGCTACTAAGCATCTCTACACAGCTGTGAATGTACAAGAATACAATTGTTAAATTACATGTAGTCTTAAAGACAGAACATGAACAAATGAAATACAACAATTCCCGAGAGTGTGAAGGGAAAGGAAAGGAAGAGTGCCCCAGAGGAACGAGTACTTTGCTACCTGCTTGGTCTTATGTGATATGTCATTCCTCTCCATATGTTCGGGCTCCCCATTGTACACATTGATGCTGTTTCCAAACGGCTTCTAAATGGGATAGGAAAGCATCATAATCAGAACTGTAACTGACTGAAAGGATCACGATGATAACAAGTTACTACTGGAAATGAAGCAGAGACAAGCTAAAAGCCAAAAGATAAAGTCAACGAGACCTCCCTGGTTTTCAAAGGTCAGCTCTTACAGCGCAGACTGTGTTCTAGTCTTTTGATAAGGAAACTCACGATGTAACGAGCTAGCCTTAACTCACTACGTAGCTTGGGCTGGCCTCAAACTTGTGGCAATCCTCCAGTCTCCTCCTCCTGCCTGAGTACTAGGATGACAGTTGTGCGACACCATGCAAGTTTTGGAACAAACGTTTCCATCTTTCAAACACTCTCATATTAAATGTTTCGATAATTTCAGGGTCAGACACTTAACATTCCTATGAAAGGCAGGTAAGTAAAAACTGACAAATTCATTCATAATTTGAAGAAATGAAGAAAAAACATTTCTTCAGTGACTCTAAACAGTCAACAACGGGAAGAGTGGGTGCTTGAATTTCATGCTACCTGATATTTAATTTTCCTTCCTTGCAGCAAGAACTTGTTAAGACAACAGTCCCTTCACTCCTCTGGGGACTGGTAACCAACTAAAGCACCTCTGAGCCGGAAAACAAAAATCCAACAAAACATATCCACTGGAAGACCAGCTGACAAAGGACAGCGTTAACACAGTGGGTTCCAGCTCAGCGCCTTACTCAGCAATAGAGCAGTCACCATACACTTAGCTTACCGGAGTCAGTCAGCAAATGGATGACACACCTAAGAGCTATGTGCAATACCTCAGGTTTTGAATAACCTGTACTAAGCACAGAGGGAACACAGCCAGTCAGCCAACTCTAAACCATGCTAACTACATGCCAATGCTTTTCATTAGATGGATAGATAGATATACGATGACAGAATACTCAACACTGTGAGGTAAATTATTCAGAAAGAGCACAACCAAGAGTGGAAGGGAGCAATGCTGACATGATGTCCACAGCTGAGGCAGCCTGAAGGTAAACTTGCTGTTATAATCCTCAGAATGAAAATCCAGCATTCGTGGTCTTGACACTGGCATAAACGTTCTCACCCAATCTAGCACAAGCCTCGGTTCTGCACTGTCCATCTGACCTAGCAGTTCAGTTTCCTAAGAACTTAGTCTAAGCCGGGCGGCGGTGGCGGCACACACCTTTAATCCCAGCACTCGGGAGGTAGAGCCAGGAGGATCTCTGTGAGTTCGAGGCCAGCCTGGTCTACAGTGCGAGATCCAGGACAGGCACCAAAACTATACAGAGAAACCCTGTCTGGGGTGGAGGTGGGGGTGGGGGACTTAGTCTAAGGAGTTAACCAGATGTTACAGAAAATAAAGTGTTTAGAATACTGAAAATTTGGAAAGAAAAATACTAGGATGCACCACAGAACTGACTTTAACAATAACATCTATATAATTTATTATATTTACTATGTAACACAACAAGAGAAAAATATTCCATGGCAAGTTGTTTTCATTATTTTAACATTTTAAAAGTCTAACTATGCCGGGTGGTGGCGGCGCACGCCTGTAATCCCAGCACTTGGGAGGCAGAGGCAGGTGGATTTCTGTGAGTTCGAGGCCAGCCTGGTCTACAGAGCTAGTCCAGGACAGGCTCCAAAGCTACAGAGAGAAACCCTGTCTCGAAAAACAAGATAGATAGATAGATAGATAGATAGATAGATAGATAGATAGATAGATAGATAGATAGATAGGTAGGTAGGTAGGTAGGTAGGTAGGTAGGTAGGTAGGTAGGTAGGTAGGTAGGTAGGTAGGTAGGCAGGCAGACAGACAGACAGACAGACAGACAGACAGACAGACAGACAGACAGACAAATAAATAGTAAAAGTCTAACTACAAGTGTACACTACAGTCTAGTTTTTAATATTATTAAAAGCCTGTATGCATTGTCTCCAGAAGAGATAATGTTAAATGAACAATATTCTTTTTACTTTAAACATTCTGTATTTGCTCTACTGTCTAAAACAGTTCTCAACCTGTGGGATGAGACACCTTTGGCAAGCCACTATCTCCAAAAATATTTACATTACAAGTCATAACAGTATCAAAATTACAGTTATGAAGTAGCAACAAAAATAATGTTATGGTTGAGGGTCACCACAACAACAGGAACTGTATTCCAGGGTTGCAGCATTAGGAAGGTTGAGAACTACTGCTCTAAAATATTCATCTACCAAGTGTGGTAGCTCACCCTATGATCTCAGCACTGAGCAAACTGAGGCAGAAGGATTATAATGAGTTCATGGATAGCCTGGGCTACCCTATCTTAGAAAAAAAAAGTTGAAAAAAAAACCAACAAACCTCATTGTGCTAGGTCTCTAGGCTCTACACGTTTCTACATGCACCATGAAAGTCGGCCCACTGAAAACACCAGTTTTCAATAGCAAAAGTGATCAAGTATAAGGATGCCAACCAGAGGGAGAACATCTCTATGACATAGTGGTCTCATCATTTCACAATCTACAATCTATGTCTATGTCGATGGACACATCCTTTTTTTTTTTTTTTTTTTGGTTTTTCGAGACAGGGTTTCTCTGCGTAGCTTTTGCGCCTTTCCTGGGACTCACTTTGTAGACCAGGCTGGCCTCGAACTCACAGAGATCCTCCTGCCTCTGCCTCCCGAGTGCTGGGATTAAAGGCGTGCGCCACCACCACGGCCCAGCTGATGGACACATCCTTTAAAGACCACATACAAATAGTGCCCTAGTGACGTTATTTCGAAGTTGCTAATGTGACAGGTCAATGGGGAGAAATGCTTTCCTTCCTGCCCAATGATCCGAGTTTGATCGCTTTAACTCACATAAGGGTGGAAGGAGAGAACTGACTACACAGTTATCCTCCAACCTCCACATGTGTGTCTATATGCACACTACACATATGTACACATGCACACACTGAAAATTAAAAAATCAAAAATAAAACATTTTTCTTACATAGTCAAAAGAACTATATTTCTTTTTCACACACATGCTATTTCCTTACATTAGTTATCTCAACAACCAAAGAGCAAATCATCTGAATAGGCATTTCTACAAAGGGGAAGCCAGTGCAGTTACAGGTGAGAAAAGTACCAATACAAGCGGAGTCAGTTTAACTTGCAGAATCTCCCTCCGTGCTTCCTTTTCCTTAATGTCGGCCTGGTGGGAGGCAGAGGCAGATCTTCTGGAACCTTTGGGTGCCCTGCCAGGGGACCGGGAGCGTGACCTTGAGCGGCTGCCACGGCGTCTTGAAGGAGAGCTGGAAGTTGAGCCACTTTTCCTTTGCTTAAAGGATTTTAAAGGCTAGAAAGGGAAAAGCAATAGATGTTTTCAGAACACTAACATCCAGTGGCAGACCTAAGCTACAAGAGGTCAGTAAGGGCCACTATCTGCTGCCACCCATTCTAAGCATCAAGGGACTCACGGGTCTGAGAACTGATCCCTTAGGACCAGTTCCTAGGAAACCAACAGTGCTCCCCTCCTCCTCCAGCTTGGAAGGTATCCCCGGAATCAGTGTCTATCCCACCAGTTGTATATATTCCCAGTAATACAAGAACGGCTTCTAACTGATAATGACCCAAACCGACATGGTCAAACATAATTAGCATGCAACCAATTTTTCAAAGTTAAGCAGCCCTACAGGGCTGCTCTGAAACCCACCTGAGTTCTTAACAAAGCCTGCATTTAACTCCCCTGGTCAGCTGCACTCTGCTCTCTGATCCACTGCAAATCACTCCTTCCTCATTTCTCGGGATATAGACATGAGCCAGGCAAACCCCTGGGCCTCTGTCCAGGGCTGTTTTGTGAATATGGTGCTCAGCTAAGGATGGCATTTACATGTCTTAAATGACTGCTGACAGCATTAAGAGAGAAGTCCATACCACCTGGAGCTGCCCCTAAGCTACACGAACTCCATGAGCCATGAAGCCTAAAGCACAGGGTGTGATCCACAGACCATGGGTTCAAACTATTAGTTACTGACCAGTCACAAGGTCCAAAACTGTAAACTTCTTTTTCTATTTTGTTTTTTTGAGACAGAGTTTCTTTGTGTAGCCTTGGCTGTCCTGAAACTTACTCTGTAGACCAGGCCTGCCTCTGCCTCCCGAGTGCTGGGATTAAAGACGTACGCCGCTACCACCAGCCAGATCCAAAACTGCAAAGTTCTAAGTAGACAAAGCATTTTGACTAAATAATTTCATGCCTGTAGAAAACAACTAAAACTCTGAAGCTCTAAGGCATTTTGCTAGAAATTAATTTTTATGCATTTTCTGTTAAATATTTATATACCATGAATCAATATTTTAAAATCCAGGCCCTCAACAGATAGGCTGGAAAAGGGAAGCTGTGAGCTGGCCTCAAACCTAGAAAATGTCACTCTGATTAAAATCAATCACCAATGTTGAGGAAGAAACTTAAGCCCTGACAAGAGGTGGTGGCACATACCTTTAATCTCAGTACTTGAGAGGCAGAGGCAGCGAGATCTCTGAGTTTGGGGCCAGCCTGGTCTATAAAGCAAGTTCCAGGATAACAGGGCTACACAGTGAGACCCTGTCTTGAAAAAACAGAAAAGAAACTCAAGCCCTGTACATAACTATTAAAAAATCCCCCAGTCTGCCTGGCCCTGTGGACGCCTCCACTGTGCCCAGCCATCCACCTCTGGTACTTGACTGTCTGCATCATCCACAGGCCTTGGGTGTGCTGCCCTCCGTACCCGTTTTCCCATCTGTCCTAGCACAACTCAAGGAAACGGTGCTAAAAACACCCCTAAGCCAGGGCCCTCTGCCACCCTGTCAAGGGGCACTCTGTACAGCAGACACCTCCCAGGAGGGCTCAGACCCACACCTCATTGACACATCCCCTGATGAGCCAAGAACAGATGAGCCCCAAGGCCCCTCCATCCCCCAAGACTAAGGTGCACTCACCTTCACGTCACTCTCCTTCAGTTCCAGCTCAGTGCCATCTTTGTATTTTACAGTGTACAGCTGGGATTTGCTGTCATGGCTCAGAATTTCTACTTCATAATAAAGGGAGCTCCCAGGCCATCGACCTCGGACCACTTCACCCTCGGCAAACTTCCTACTTGGCATCTTCTAAAATTAGTCTGAACAATTTTAAAAAAAAAAATTCAGTCAATATTTACTACTTTTTTTTTTCAACTAGTTTGACCCTAAAACTAACTTTCTAGATCTGTAAATTGGTCAAGGTTTTAGAGCCAGGAAGCCTCCAAGGAAGGCGTGTGCAGGTCCTTATTCTATAAATGATGAATTTGAGCTTCCAGTGAATGTTCTATCAAAGTTCACAAATGTAGGTGAGGGGTAGCAGCACAGCACAAATCATTATTTGCGCTTCATTTTCTTGGATGTGGAATCAGTCTGTGGGCGAGGACTTGGCCACTGGGGACATGAAGTGGCACTGAGAAGTACAACACTGTATGACTCAGAACACTGCTCACCTGTAGGAACCAAAGCTCAGAGGACATCTCCAGAAGGACACTTATTTTTACATGTAAATCTGCAATGTCATCTTTTAAAAGCTTTAAAATGCATTTAATTATATAACAAGCTACCTTACTGAAAAATAATAAACTATGAGACACCAGGAAAGTTAGAAATGTACCAACAGGAATGTTTCAAATCCTTAATGAATAACATATCTGAGGTTTACTTCATAAAGTTTGCATTCTCAGAGTTAAATCCCAAGTGCATACTAAGTAACTCTGCCAACCACCCACCTAAGCCGACAAGTACCTGGCCTTCATCCAAGTTCACCTCTCAAGCCTAGAGCGGACACCTACTCCAGTTGGAACATTCTTTGCCACTGTTTCAAAACATGGCCCATGAAACCTTATCTATACTTCAAGAAACTACAATCTTCAAGAATTGTCATTTATATAAGGCAGTTTGCCATCCTTCTAGAAATATCGAATGATAGCTGTGCTCCCAGCTCTGAGGTAGTGATGTTTTTCTCTTCACTGGCTACCAAATTCACAGATTCACAGGATAAAACAGGTGCCTCTGGCCAGTGCCCCTGACACCAAACGATGGAGGAGCAGCAGACAGGAGAGTGTTCACCTGCTAAGCAAGTCTCCATTATCACCAAAGCTCATAAAGACAGACACTCGGGCTGGAGAGATGGCTCAGAGGTTAAGAACACTGGCTGCTCTTCCAGAGGTCCTGAGTTCAATTCCCAGCACCCATATGGTGGCTCACAACCATCTGTAATGAGATCTGGCACCCTCTTCTGGCCTGCAGGGACACAGGCAGACAGAACATTGTATACATAATAAATAAATAAATCTTTTTTTTAAAAAAAAGAAAATTGAGAATCAATCTTCCCCAAGACCCAGCTATACCATTCTTGGGCGTATACCCAAGGAATGCTCAATCATACCACAAGGGCACATGCTCAGCTATGTTCATAGCAGTATTGTTTGTAATAGCCAGAACCTGGAAACGACCTAGATGCCCTTCAACTGAAGAATGGATAAATAAAATGTGGTACATATACACAATGGAATACTACTCAGCAGAGAAAAACAAT